TTCGTTGCTGCTCAGGGAATGAATTTTAGGTAATATAAAAAAAAAAGTTGCAGAAGGAAAAAAAAACCGATAAAACTGTTCATATCATTTAAAAAAAGTGCATATTTGACGACTGCAGCGAGCTGTATGGGCCCAGCTGGGTACTACTTTATAGTATGTTCATTCTACTCACTGGGGTTTATGCCTAAAGTCAGACTTGGGTTCATGTATAGGTATGTGTCAGCTGCTATAACTATTGGATATATTTAGACTAATTAAGTTCATTGGCAGATCAATTGAATGGGGTGGGGAAAGGCATGGAGGGCAACTGTGGATGCCATGGACAACGTGGGAGGAGGATGGGACATGGCAGAGGGTGGGGGATGGGGAATCAAGAATGACAAAACAAAAGGCAAGGTATGCAGGACATAAGAATTGGAAAATTATTTGCTGAGAACATGTATGTTGATGTGCTTGATTAAGCCAATGCACAGTGTATTTTGGATGGAAAATTCATTTGTGTGTTGTGATGGTGTATAGTGAATTAATGTAGAGAATGAATAAATTTTTTAAAAAATTAAAAAAATAAAGTTTTATGCTTTTTTAAAAAACACATTTTTAGTTTTGAGGTTATGGATTGCTGTTTACAGAGTTTTTTTTAACTGAAAGGAAAACATTTTTTAAAATAAAGATTTGTTCAGGTTGTTCATGATTGCCTGATGATTTTTTTTTTTTTTGCTTTATTTTGTAAAAAAGAAGAAATATTGGAAAAGTTTTTAAGTCAATGTACTTAAATGGTAAAAATGTATGTTTTACTTTATCTGGTTTCAGTTATTTCTCTTAATGGCATGTTTATTTGATGCTTCATAAGAAAACGTTCATCGTAGTACTAGCTTTAGTTAAATTCTTAGAAGTACGGGGATAAACAGAAATGTTAAGTGTTCATTCAGCACTGGATCAGGGACACACCAGTTGTTACTCAGTATTGGGTATCATATTGTTACTAACTTTTTTCTTAGCTTTTATAGTTTTGTTCATAATCTGTGTTTTTTTTAGAGAGGGTTTTTTGTTTTTGTTTTTGTTTTTGCTATAGAGCACATGAGCTCTTTGGAGAGACAGAGAGACAGAAAGTGAGAAATAATCCCCCGGAGGGAATGGCCACGCTGCAATCCTGTCTCCTTTCTTCTCTTGGGACTTGGGGTACATGTGCGGGTCTCAAACCACTGGGTCCGAGACTTGAACCACAGTCAACCACATAGGAGTCCAGTGACATAACTATTATGCCATCTGCTGGACCCATAATCTGTGTTTTAATAAACCATTTTGATGTCTGAAGCCTTGTTGAGCATATCAGACTCCTTGGAAGATGCTAAAATATAACTTTCTGGTCTAATGTTCTAAGAAGAACCAGGATACACCTTAGATTTCTCAAAACAAACAAACAAACAATATATACACACATACACACACACATACATACATACATTCATATGCACACACATATGCATGCACACACACACATATTACCTATTACCTTTGTAATTTCAAAATCATAATCTGTTGCTTTGAAAATTAACTTGTACTTTCTGGATTTGACATGATTTTTATTTTGGTCTCCTGAATTGCAAATCAAATAGTTATTGTTTTCTCTTACAAAAGGAAAGCCAAATGAAGCTGTCACTGAAAAAATATTTTACTAAAATGTATCTTTATTTCAGTATCTTAAACAGTGAAGATGAAGAAATATTCAGTAATGAAGAACATGACTATGCATCCAAAAAAAGGAAAAAGGACCACTTTGGAAATGACACAAACACGCAAAGTAAGATAATTTTCAATAGTGATTTTGTGATATTTTTACTCATTGGCTATGTTGATATACTAAATTGTTTTGACAATGCTCTTATGAAATAAAATATGATATAGGTATGTAAATTACAGCACTGTAATCTGTATGCCTACTGAATTTAATTATTAGATTTTTGTGCCTTGACCATTTTAGTTGGTAAAATGTACAAAAACAAAACAGGTGACAGTAAAATCCACACAAGTCCATGCTTCTGAAGGGCCCAGTTGTGGTCCTGAGCAGCGCAGCCCAATGGAACATGTCTTGACTTTGGTCACTGAAGACTGAGTAGGAGACAGACATGGTCAGAGCTAGAGCTGAGGACATGGGGAAGCAGTGAAGGATAGAAGGGTAGGGAAGGCTGGAGACAGTCATCCATCTGTGAGAGTGGAGGGCCTCTGTTACGGCACTGCCTTACAGCTCAGCTGCGAGTCCCCAAGGCATGTTAATGTATGAAGCAGGTCACATGGGCAATGTAGCTACTGTGAATCTTGGAGCTTTGGGATATGAGTTACATGAAAAATGTGTTTCTGTGGAATACCATACCTGGCAATAAAGGAATAGGACTTTATCGGGTACATAGAATTTATAAATAATTAAATTGCATTTTTATGATTATGTTTTGATGTGACTATAGTCATCAATAATCATTTTCTTTTAAGTTACTAACTCTTGGTACTGTCTTAAATCATCTTCATTTGAAGGTGTTTCAATAACTCTTAGTATTAGAAAATAAGGCAATTCGGATTATATTTAACCAGATAAAAACATTTCTTATAAATATAGTAAGTCAGATAATTTTATTAACTTGACCACTTACGGAATTCCTTTATAAATCTTCGTTTTGAAATGATTTGCCAGATTTTAAGAACAAAGTTACTTTTTATTCCAGGTTTTTATCGTGAAAAATGGATCTATGTCCATAAAGAAAGCACAAAAGAAGTAAGTATTTCATTATAAATAACAGTGTATCTTGCTTGATTTCTGTTGAATATGTAATGTCACGTAAAATAAATTTCTTTTGCAACTTCAAAATCTATTGTTCACACTAATGAATGAAAGCATTCATGCATATTTTGAAGCAGTGATTCTCAGTTGTTCCTGTGGGTGTTGTATGTATCTACTGTGTATGTGTGTGGTGTGACTGTGTATATGGTGTGTGATTTGTGTGGTGGGTGTGTGTGTGTGGATGTGTGTCTGTGTGGTGGATGTGGTGTGTGATCTAGGTGGCATGCATGTGGTATGTGTGGTGGGGTGTATGTGTACGTTTGGTGTACATGCATGTGGTATATGTGCATGATATGTGCATGTTTATGGTGTGTGTGCATTTGTATGTGTGCAGTGTGTGGCCACCCCCACCCCCCTTTCTGAATCAATAGTAGGACTGTTTCAAACTCAGAATGGATCTCTACTGTTTGTTAGCACGATCCCCTAGTACTGATGGGAAAGGTGTCCTTCCTGATGTATTCGGGGGAGTTTGGGGTATCTGTGAGCCCTGTGTTCAGTATGGAGAGTAGCTCATATTAACTTAACGATCAAAACTGAATCTGTGCCGAACAGTTTGAGCTGTTTCCCTGCTTTTCTTTTGCCAAGTTGGCTCAAGCTTCTTTATGAGCCATGAAACAAACCAGTTCACTTCAAACTCTGTTCCCTGTGTCTTCCTTAATATCAAGGAAGCTTAGCTACTTTTACAGTGCTAGAAACTGCATCACTTAACTTACATCAGTGGTGAAAAATAATTTAGGAAACAGCTATGTATCATAATATGTTAAGTTAAATGTTTCAGAAATGTTTGTAATGGATGTTCTTAAAGTAACCCAGCTTCCTAGAAACTTAAGGATTAGATTCTGAGGAATTTAATCTTTAGAAGGAAAATTCCCTTTAAAAGAAATGTATTCAACCAATTTGGTGATGGTTAATATTGTTAAATGGATATAAAACTTCTTCTAATCTTTAGTATCTGTCTTTCATAATCTTTAAGCTTTTGTTTTTTTACAATCAATGAGTACATACTGCCCCGCGAGCACACCCTGTACTTGATGTGTGCATTTGTAACTCCTCACCCTGCTAATGCAGCTAAGCAGGTGATTGGTGCTGCGTAGCCTAGAACATATCATGTTTAGGTGCCCAGATTAGGATATGTTCTTGAGATTTGAGGCTCAAGATCATCAATCCTAGAGTGGGCAACTTGTCCCCAGTGAAAGAAACCAAGATACTTAATACATAGTCCCTTTGTCATTACATCAACAGCAGTGTAAAAAAAAAGTCCACTAAGGCATAGTGTCTTAATTATACATAAATTACTTAAGTTTAGCATTGCTGTTATGTACTCTACTCTCATCGAAATCTGAAATAAATCTTCAGAATAAAAACAAATCTCCTTTGCTAAAAAAAAAAATGCATAGTCTAATTCAAATTAACTGTGAGTTCATTTTGGCTAATTGACTACTTTGACTGATTTTAACCATTTTGTGTTGCTTTTCCAGAGGCATGGCTATTGTACCTTGGGGGAAGCCTTTAATCGATTAGATTTCTCAAGTGCAATTCAGGATATCCGAAGGTTCAATTATGTGGTCAAAGTAAGTTTTACTTCAAAAGTTACTTTGATTACTCTCTTGAATAACTATATTTTGAAAGTTACAAGTGTAAAATGTCTAAGATGTTTTTGGCAGCAGCGTAAAGGTGCTCTGTAGCAGGGGAAAGGATGAGTTCAGGAGGGAACAGTGAGAAGTGAAGGTTTCCCTGGTACTGGTGCCAGATACTGCAGGGCGGTCTCTTGTGGGGTCTCACCACATTTCTGTGGACAGCATCAGTGACTGTGAGAAGAGGGGCTCCCATGTGACCTTTACTTGATGATTTCATGTGTATTTTCTACTTTATGTTTTCTACAAGGAATGAGACATTTTCATAGAGGAAGAAGTAACCAATGGGGGGAGAAAGGAATTCTACACAAAATAGAACTCCCTAAGCCTTATTGCACTAATGATACATTTTGAGAAGAAATTTTTACCTTGAGCTACATTCAAAAGGAAAGAATCTCATGGAAACGGCAGTTGATGTAGTGGCTAGGTTGCTGGACTCTCATGTAGTTGACCGTGGTTCGAGTCCTGGACCCGGTGGCTTCAGCCTCACACTGGGTATATGTGCGTGTGTGCCCAAGATCCCGAGAGGAGAATGGAGGAGAAGGGATTGTGTTTTAGCCATCCTGCCTGGGGAGTGATTTCTCGCTTTCTGCTTCTCTGTCTTTCTGGTGAGTGCGCGTGCCCTATAGCAACAAAGAAAAACTTCTTCTCCAAAAAAAAAAAAAAAAAGAAAAGGAAAGAATCTCAGCTATATAGTTCACTTATTATTTGCCTTTATTTGTCTAAAGATTAATTACTATGTGGTTTATTCACTTTCATTATATCAGAAGTAATCATGGTTATGAAACTCTTAATTTTGTTTTTAATAGTAATGTGAGACATGGGAAAGATTTGTCTTTAATGACTTTCAGACAGTTAAAAGTGTTACTAGAAGGGGGACCAGCAGATGGCATAATGGCTATGTTGCTGGACTCCCATGTGGTCGACTGTGGTTTGAGTCCTGGATGTGGTGGCTTAAACTCACACCGGGCACGTGTGCATGCGTGCCCAAGATCCCAAGAAGAGAATGGAGGAGAAGGGATTGCAGCATGGCCATCCCCCCTGGGGAGTGATTTCTTACTTTCTGTCTCTCTGTCTCTCTGTCTTTCTGGCAAGCACTCACGCCCTATAGCAAAAATCTCTAAAAAAAATAAAAATAAAATAAAAATAAATTGTGAAGGACAGAAAAATGAGATGGTTAAATACCTTCAGCCGCAGGTCATTTTATCTGTTTGGTTTGGTTCCCACCAGAACTTGTCTAGGCATCTTATGTAACTAATAACTGAGAGATCCTTTTATGCCACATGCTTTAGTGAAACCCAGTTGACATTAGCTAAATTTTAAAATTTTGTTTAGACTGAATTTTTTCATTGTGTTCTGAGTTCTTATGTTGATATTTATACACTGGCCAGCAATTTCTCCCTTAGATACTTCTTTTGGAGGTGAAGAAGCATATTTGACTCCACTTTGTTGAAATTTTCAGGAATGAGGTAGCAGGAAAAAACCATGACTGCAGAGAGGTTTGTCTTACAGCCACGGTTTCTCTATGTAGCTCTTTGAGGGTTCAGACCACACTTCACAGTGCTCTAAGTAGCAATTCTTGGCCATCTGTCTACGTAAAAGGATTTAACTCTTGGGGTGGGCGAAAATCAGAGTAGGGTAGAGGCCCGGGAAGAAGAGAGCTGGCTGCTGGTGGTCTCAGTGCCAGATGTTCTGGCTCATCTTTGTTCGCTGATTCCAGAGAAGGTCTGAGTGTTCTGTGCTTTGTGAGAGGGGAGTCCATAGGCCTGGGCCAGTTTTCTATCAATTTCCACTTCATGAATTTTTGTTTTGTCTGCATACCGCACATTACTATTATTTACCGAATAATCATATTTTTCACATTGACTTTTAAAAACAGAAATACCTACTTTAGCCTCATCCTAAACAACAATACTTATTGTACATTTCTGTGCTGCATATATATATATATAGTGGAGAAATATTTTTATAAGAGTTAAGTCACTAAGATACTTCCAGGTATTTTCTTCAGTGGTGTTTATTATCTTTATTCGAGGATTCCAGGAAATATTCGGTTCCTACAGCTACCACAAATGCAGCAAATCCCCACTTGAACCCTTTTAATAATGCACCAATGAAGGAAACATTGTTTGCAAAGCCACCCATGTATCTCCAAGCTTCATTCCAGGCCCATGGATCTCTTAGTCCTTGTGCAGCCAGCTTCTCCTGGACAGTTTCTAATGGTGTTCCTTCTGTCTTCCACTGCTTATAATCTGGAAGTTCCATTTTACCATGACCATGACCCTGACCTTGTTCATGTCCATGGGCCATGACTGATAGCAATCTGACCTCTCAGGACACTATGGCCAGAGCCTGTGCTGCTTATATTTTTAATACATGTAAAGTAAATATGTAACTATGAAAATCAAAATGTATATCCATGTACCAGCTAAACTTACCCTGCAACATTTTGAGAAGCACTGTGCTTCTCATACCACATCCCAGAGGTAGAGGGTAGAGCTGGAGATTATAGGAAACATGTGGAGTGTGTGCATTGAGGATGTTCCAGCACTGTCTCCCCTTTTCAAGGGTCACCCTCAAACATGGAATCAGTCCATCATATCTGTTGGTTGCTGCCTACCAGGTGGAGGCCCCACTGGCTCTTCTGTCCTCTGCAGGAATCCTACCTTCTCCCTCCTGGCCCTCCAAACTCTATAAGTACAGCAAACTTACCTTCTGAAATACGATTTGTCCACCATCTGCTGAAAACGAAGTCAGATGGGCCCAGACTCTGGCGATTGGTAGCGTACAGGACTGTGGAGCTGGAAGTCACATGCTGGCTTTAGTTCAAGTCCCTGGCCTGAAAGCGTGACTGGTGCGTGTGCACATGCACATACTCAGAATCCTGGCAGGCTGGAGGGCTGGAAGAAGGGGGTGGTGGCATGACTCAGCCTTGTGGAGGATGCATCTGCCCTTCTCATTCCACCTCCACCTGTGCATACAGATGCACTCTATCATGAATTGAAAGAGGACAGAACAAGACAACAACAACAACAGCAACAAACCCCCCCCCAAAACAAAGAACCACATTTTGGTGATTATTGGTAATAAAACATACATCTTGCCTTGGATTGGGCCTCTCCATGTATTACTATCCCAGTCTTTTTTTTCTCGTCCCCATTTACTTTTACTTTTTCCTTTGCCCTCATTGTAGGTGAAGAGTTGGTCACTCCTCGGCATTGCTCTCCTCTTCCCAGGACTCACTAGTTTGGTCCCTGTGGTCCAGATGGTCCTCACCTTTGGAGATGGACATCTCCCTGTTTCTGGGTAGCTCAGGGAGCTCTTAAGTAGTGGAGACATGAAAACAACTGAATAGATATCTAGACATCTCAGTCTGGAATATCTGGTTAGATGGAGATTTCAATTTTTCTTGTAATTACTACTAAACACTATTTAAGAGCAGGTATTTAATAGCCACAGTCTGCAGATCGGGGTCCACTGAGAAGTGCTGAGGTCACGGATGACCTGGGTCCTCCCAGGCTTCCATCCACACGGGAGTGTGGCAGTGGGAAGGACGGCGGCTCTGGAGCCACACAGTCAGTGTTCGAATGATCTCGTTTTCTTACCTACGAGGGGAGCTCAGTCCAGTGACTTAATCTTCTCACTCATGGCATGATACATTTTAGTATCTACCTCAGAGGACTGCAGTCAGGACTAAACTATTAATAGTTCAAGCTCTTGGAACAGGCCGTACCGTACTTTCTGTGTTAGCTACCATGTCGATTATCTTATGAGAAAGATTTAGGCAAAGGGATAACAGCTCCATGCAGATTCATTTGTAACTCAGGATTTTTTTGTTTTAGTTGATATCTCTTTCTTTTTAATTTTAATTTTTTTCTTTTTTTAATGTTTAATTACTGTACATCTTTACAGCATACAAAATGAACTTTCCCAGCATAAATATACTGAAAACAAGGTCCAGAGGAAGTGCCTGAGGTCACAATGGAAACAAAGATGGGAAACAGAAATACAGTTGTCCTGAGAGCCAAGAAGTGCTTTGCTAAGACCTTATTTTCCCTAATTCTATAAACTTTTCCTCTGATTGGAAAGCAAGTGATTGGGACTGTCAAATGGTATAATGGTTACATATCTGGACTCCCACGTAGTCAACTGCGGTTTGAATCCTGGACTTAGTGACTTGAAACTCACACTGGGTGTTGTGTGTGTGTGCCCAGAATCCTGAGAGGAGAATGGAGGAAAAGGGATTGCTTGATTAGCAATATGATCAGAAATTTTAAAGACAGTCCTTTTAACCAGTTTTAATTAATTTGGCAGGTCATTATTTTAAAACATATGATGCATTTTAGAAAGCCACTTGCTTTTTTTTTTTTAAGAGAGAGCTTTGTGATAGGGCGTAATGCACTCCCCAAAGAGACAGAGAGAGACAGAGAGACAGAAAGCAAGAAATCACCTCCTTCTTGGGGGGGGATGGGGAGACGGCCACGACTCAATCCCTTCTCCATTCTCCTCTTGGGATCTTGGGTACACATGCACACGTGCTTGACATGAGTTTTAAGCCACCAGATCTGGGGCTTGAACTGTGGTTGACTACACAGGAGTCCAGTGACATAAGCATCATGCCATCTGCTGGTCCCCTCAAGAAAAATTGATATTTAGAATACAGGAATTTATTTCTACTTTATAAAAATGTTTCTTACAAAAAGGATATTCTCTGATTTCCTGAGTGAGCAGAATTTCTCTTACACAGAAAAAATACACACATATACATGCATGTATATACTCACACACACATACACACACACACACACACACACACACACACACAGATAGACTAGGCCATTGAATTAACTTCAGGTATTTCTTATCATTTTTTCCCTTGAAAATTCTGGATTAAAATGTGTAAGTGAAATAGGTGAATGTCTCCAGGAACAATATTT